CCTGGTTTATTGATTATTTATTTTCTTGTTTATTAACCTTCATTTAACCAGGCAAATGACATATCTCTTTTGTAAGGGAGAACTGGGCCTGAAGGCAGCCTAGCATACATATTTTTGATCTGTGGGAGGAAACGGGAGTACCCGGAGAAAACCCACGCAAGCACGAGAAGAACATGCAAACTCCACACAGGAAGACCCCAGGTCCAATCGGGGATTGAACACAGGACCTTCTTGCTGTGAGGCAACAGTGCTAACCACTGAGCCATCATGCTGCCAAATCATCAGTTTATGAGCATGAACTTTGATGTTTTGAACCACTTTAGCAATGGCTGCCACAGAAATTAAAAGAGTCAACGTGGGAGAAGGTGGGCCCCAGAAATCACCAGCAAACTGGTTGGTCCACTATGTAAGTGTGTTGCTTATGGAACTGAGTTTGTAATGGCTCCTCGGACTGATGAAATCCTTTGGAAGAAGGACAAAACTTCTCAAAAAAAAAAAAAAAAAAAAAGAAACCATACAGATAACCTGACTGAACTTTGTTATATTTAAGCAAATTATTGCATTGCTAAATTCCAAATCAGTTCTATATGCATAATTAGACATTTAGTCAAAATGCCATTGAACTAAATTTCATAATAGCTGACCTATTTTGCTTTACTTGAAATAAAATAAATGCTTTTCATGTTTTTTTAAGAATAAGTTAACAATGTGGTCTCACATTTCTATGGAAATATCTCTCATGAACTTGTACACTCAAAAACAAAACAAACAAAAACAATAATATGGCACGTCCTGTAAGTTTATAGCCCTTTTTGCACATTGATTGCACATTATCTGGTGTTAAGAAAAGGCTTCCTCGTGAAGTTGCTGTTTTTCTTTTGTAATTCACACATGCCAAACCACAGTGGCTTCATGCCATGCCGGCGTGCATTGAAACACAGAAAGGCGGCGTCACAAAATCAGCTGGGTGACAACAGCGATGTTGGTTGGAGTGCGTGTTGCACGCATCACCACCCACTTCACACATACAAGCAAATTCAACTCTGTGACTACCTCCTTGCAGTTGTACACACGGTGGATCAACTTTGACCTTGTTATGCCGCCTCTGTAGTTTCACACGTAGCTCCACAGCACAATGAAGGCGTATTAGACCTGGCGTCAGAGGTGATGTGTGAAAAATGCTCATGCCAATCACTTTTTTCGTTATCTTTTGCAGTCATTGTGTTAATTTATTTATCTTTTCCTGCAGTAACAGGAAAAAAAAATCTTTCACACAGATACCTGTGAGACACATCACTTTTTTTCTATGCAATTTGTTTTGCTGTAAGTAAAACAGCCTCACACTCGCTTTAGTCTATGTATACGAAGCATGAAGCAAAGTCTTCTACAGGCTTTGGTGCAGGGAGTTATGAGGAGACTGTTTAGGAGTCAGTCTTTGAGATTCAGTGTTCAGTTTTTGCATGAACAAGGCAGAGGGCAGCGTAATACACTGGGTCAAAAGCAGTGAGCAAATAAAATGCAGTCTTTAAAGACAGACATTGTGAGTCAGCTATCTGACTTCATCAAATAGGACTTGACAATAAACCCCCTGAATACAAGAGCCCTACTCTTTTATTTCATTCTTTTTTTTTTATTTCCCAAGGCGACTTGCCAGAGTTGCTGACTGTCTTATACCAGCCAATATCTGTGTCTGTGGCAGTCATATGTCATTCCATCATGTGCACTTTGGCTCCAGTGGCATCCCAGTGTGACAACTGGTCCCATGTATTAAGTCTCGTGTAGTATATGTTGTTCCTGCTGGAAGCCTACCGTGCCTAAATGAGTATGTGTAAGTCCAAGCTAATACGGTGACCAAGTTACACTGGATCATACTTTTCTGCAAGTGAGAAAACATGTTTTAAGTGTTAGGAATCAAGAAAAAGAAGTCTCCTGGTAACGATACTCGTGATGTTTAAAAAAAGTTGTGTATATGGTAGGAATTGTTGAAGAATTTTATAACACTCTAAAACAGGGCTATTCAACTAGTGGCCCATGGGCTGGAAATGGCCAGCAGATGAATTCAGTTCGCCCCACTTCATTAAAAATAACAATAATAATAATTTATTTTATTTCTATTTGGGGTGGGGGTGGGGGGGTTCTGGGATTGGGTTTTGGATTATATTTATTGCATTTATGATTCAATGCAATAAAACAAACACATTTAAAAGGTCATTGTATTCCAAGTATTACAAGATCATTGTAATACTTAGTTTATTTACATAAAGACTAACTGCTGGATGCCTGGCCCCTGAGCTGCTCACATTCAGAAAATGTGCAAAAATGTACTTAATAGCTTTCTTACTGCGTGCTGTAGCTAATAATATTATTCTTTCACTTTATTTTCATTTAATAGCTGGTATTCTTTCTGTTATTGTAGAAGAGAAAAAATAATGAAATGATTTTAATTTGTAAATTAAAGTATGTTTAAAGCTGTGACACACACACACAAACAAGCGTTAAGCATTTTTGCTAGAGAGTCATTCCAAAGTATAACGATGCTTTCCAATCACTTTGTAAAAGGACTGATAATATATATATATGTATATAATATTACTAATAATGCTTTTTAACAAGAAAAAAAAGAGAACAATTAAATAGAAACTAATGCACATTTATGTCATGAAACCACAATGAAATCCTGATCAGCTGCTTTTGTAAAGTTGCCTCTGTCAGGGTGTGGGGCAGAGGAGGCATCATTCTATAATCCCATCAACAGGAAGCATCACAAAGCCAACACAGAAACGAACTATGCCTAAATTTACAAAATGCCAAAAAAAGAAAAAAGACTTGAAGTCGAGCTTGCAGAGCAACACTATAAAAATATCTCGTTTTGAATCATATTTTTAACCTTTACTTGAATCAAGCGAGACATTTGCTCTTTTAATTTGAAATGTTGTGTTAGGAAAACATTAATATTAAGGAATTTATATGTATTCAGTAAGTTTGTCATGATAACAGATTTTGCTGGGCGATTAATTGTCTCAGAAATTATTGCAATTAGGGGTTGAACGAGTATATATTTTTTAAACTCGACATTAACATAATAAAACCCGAGTAGAACTCGAGTATTTGATGACGTCATAGATCTCAAGATACAAAAATAAATACATAAATAAAACCGCAATAACAGGTTATTATTTACAAAAAAAAGACCAACAAAACATTGGGAGCGTATATTATGCTCCTACCATTTATCATACTGCAAATAAGTCATAGGAAAAACTAAACTATTAGTTATTATTATTAAGCTACAAACGTGAAGAAACGTGCAGCACGTCAGAAACGAAACTTAAAACAGTGGATGGGCGGTGGATTGGACCCGGTGTTACACCATACTCTGTGACCTGCAACAGTGCAACACCGCCCCCTACGGTCATACGGTGGTCACATAATATGACGTCACTACGGTTACTCGACATTACATTTTTAACCTCGATAGATGTCCTAGCAATCGATGTGTAGATTACTCGAGTACTCTGTTAATGCCCTAATTGCAATAAACAATAATATTGTTTGAAATTTGACAATAATTAGTAATTATTGTCAAATTTAAGAAGAAATGTTGGTTAATTTGTTGAGTGTAGTACATTTTTTTTGACCACCAGATAGCAATATAAGACTGTTTGAACCGAAGAATGGATAGTGAGGGAGCGAGCAGCGTGTTTCGTTAAGAAAAATGGGAGGCCCCTTGCTTCTTTAAATAAAAGCTTTTAATAAAAAAGTCAGTAAACAAGTTCTCAGCTTCTTTTTGCAAAGAAAAAAATACTTTTTACATGAAGGCATGGGTTTCAACCGTAAACATTGGAGCTTCGATAAGACAGAGCTTTTTTCCAAAGGTCGCTTGTTAGTTTAGCTTGTAGCTTAGCTTCTCAGCTTAGCAGCTTTTAACGATCCAAAAACAGGATTTTGGGTGGTAAAAAAGGATTTTAAAGAGAAAAGAGAAAGGGAGGGGTCAGTGAAGAGCACCGGAGTTGAGCCTTTTGTCATCCAGAGTCTTCAGTAGAAAGAGAGAGACACGAATAAACCATAAAGCCGGTAAATGAAAATGAAGCCGATAATTCTCATTTATCATGCAATTAATTGATTTATTGTTTATTGCAACAAGCTTAGTATTCAGTGCTTTGTATGATGTAGTCATGCTTGTGCACCTTTGTATTTCTTTTAGATTTGTTTAGCCACTCTAAGTTATGCCCAAAGTACACACAGAAACACAATATAATGATCTGCTAAAGCTTAATGGTACTAAGACATAATAAAGCGAACACATACAGACTAAAGTAAGCATACTTAATCGAGATTGCACAGTCGTAGGTTAACTCTGAAACAAGCAGGAATTACAATAGACAGAAAATTACCTCCTGCAAGCCAGATCGGATCTGCACTTTGTCAGTCCTGTCACATGAATTTAGCTCTTTGTTTAGGTGAATGAAAAGTTAATGTGCTATGTGGTTATTTTGATTCGGTCTCTACTCCGACACTGGGGGTTATTTCTGCACGGTTTAACTCTGGATGTTTTCTTTTTTCAATAAACTCCCCCTGCACTGTTTCTTCACCTTTCAGCTCGCTAATGAAGTTTCTAATTCACTTTGGTTGGGGTTCAGGTGGCTCATTATTGGCGTTAACATTATTGTCATGTGGGCTATTGATGCTGAAAGGCAGCTATTGCCTTTTTGTTCCTCAACCCTCACACTTACATTCAGGCCTCCTGCTTTTACTGAAGTAAATCACTTCAAGGTAGCCATGCTATTCAGTTTTGTGGAACATTTTACTACAAATAAAAATCATTTAAAAACAGGAAAATGTGTCAACCGAGGCAGATAGACAAATTGAAGTAGTTTGCAGTAGGCTGGAGCTCAGGAACCATCACTGTGCCCTTTCAATAACTTTCTAAATGCCCTGAAACAGACACTTCAGTTTGGAGCAATCGTTCTGACGCTGCACAGACGTGTCTGCCCTTTTACCTTTGTGACATGATCTTGTAGGCATCTGGAAGATAGCAGTTGATGTTCTCCATCTGGAAGGGGTCAGCATCGCAAATCTTGTCGTCCGTTCGGCCGTAGTTGGCACTTTCGATCATTATGACATCACTTCCTGGACACCGAAGATCAATGGGGTAGCCTTCACAAGACAGCTCTCTCCGCACTAAGCCAAACGGCAGGACAGCCCGACTAAACCCTGAGGGAGAGGAGAGGAAGAACGAGCTCTGTCAGTGCAAATTGAAAGGAGATGTGGAACAAGATGTGATGAAAAGGCAGACAACGCAAGACTGCAGAGCTGGATGTACATCCTTTTTGAATTGTTTTTCCAAATAAATAATCTTCAATATAAAACATGGATTGATATAAACAGTAAAACTGTCTATGAATACTAGTCCAAGATATATCAGTGTACTGAGTGAACATTTCCAATATCATCCTCAGTAGAGAACTAATAGTGTTAATATGTCATCCTCCAGCACTAACTGGCTCTGAAAAAAAATCAATATTTGTCATTAAAGTCTAGTTTGTCGGTCTAAATGTCTGGAGCTTTGTACCACCTTGCAACCATCAATATAAGCACAATGACACAGCTGACAGAAAATGAAACAAAACCTAAACCATGGGTCTGCAACCTTTACAATCAAAAGAGCCATTTGTGCCTTCGTTCACCAAATTAAACGTGTCCAGAGCTGCAACAACCTGCTACAACTGTGATTATCAAGTGGTGGCCCATGGGCCGCTTTAGGTTTGTTGGAGGAGGTTTTTGTGTCCAGAAGTGGTCACATATTATAAAGCCACAAATATCTAATGATTTTTAACATTTATTAATATTTTTACAATTTAAAACAAAATAAAAAAACAGATTCTTGTAAAAAAGGAAAATATATATTTTTAACCAATTATTAAAAAGAAAAACTATGAATTATGCAGACTTGTGATTTTTTTTATTTTTTTTTTTGTGGAAAAAAATAACAAAGTATAGACATAAAGCATAAAGTTAAAGTGAGTATGATTCACTTCTTGTATTAGACTTGTGATTTTTTTTTTTTTTTGTGGAAAAAATAAAGTATAGACATAAAGCTTAAAGTTAAAGTGAGTATGATTCACTTCTTGTATTAGTTCTAGTATTCCCATATTTGCAAAAAAAATGACCAAAAAAATACACAAAACTGAAATATGAAAACTGCTGATACTAGCCGTTTTGTTGTTGGTATAACAACCAATAAAGTCCTGATGCATGCTCAACAATCCAGGTAGAAAAATCTTACAAGGTTATGTCAGGTCATCTGGACAGATTCTTAAAGACCTGATTTATCTTTGTAAGAATAACCAATAAAATTCAGTTTTATGTTAGTCTTGGTCAAAGCTTGAAAGAGCTTGATGGACCAAAGAGCTGCATGTGGCTCCAGAGCTGCAGGTTGCAGACCTCTAAAAAATTATCTGTGCCATAATTGTTACAAATAAATCATTGTGACTCTTAAATTTAATAATTTGCTTTATTTCAGTAAATCTCACTGTCTATCAATGTGTGTTTATCACTAGAGTTCCAGTTTTTTTCAATGCCAAGTTGTTGTAGCAAACGAATAAAACAACAAGCATGACGACATAAGTGTAATTTAATCTGGTCAGCACAGCTGATAAATGGCGAGTGGACTACTGGGAGGAAAGAAAAAAGAAAGGGTTTGTGTGTGTATATGTGTAAGGAAGGATGAGGAAAAGGGGATGGGAAAAATAAAACAGAAGTCAATATGGTGGCTCTGCAAATATGAACAATGCCAAAAGCCATTTTTAAAGTAAACTTTGCAGATAAATTTTATAAATGTGGGTGTTTTACCATAGGAGCATATTTGAGCAGTAACGTGAGATATTAAAGACAGGGGGCAGAGAACTTATTAAGACTGCAAGTTGACTTCATTGACTAATAGGTGCAGTTTCACAGCATCCAGTGGTGACTCGGTCACCTCTTTGAGGCCTTAAATAACAACGTGCCTACTCACAACGTGTTTGACGGCCGTGTTCTTTCCAACGTCTCTGTCTCCCTAATGAGGCTCAGTTCACAGTCACAGAGGAAAATAAAGAACACTCTTACTACTTTTCACGCACTAATTTGTTTGGCTTCAAAACAAGTTAAAGTGATTTCCATGTGCAGTTTGTGATCACAACAGACTTTATGTTTCCTTTCCTGCGTCTGTGGCAGCAGTTTACTTTTAGCCACTTGCTAAATCGGTCAAGAAGGGGTGAATTTATCTTACCCCTATTGAATGGTTCATCAGCTAACCACCAGTACAATTATCTTTGTCTGATTAAATGCTAAGCAACTGTGGCAGTGGATTAGAGGTCTTTATTGCACTTCATGCTAGGGGATGCTGTTGTGATAGCTTACAAAAGAAGATAAATGTCAGGTTGTATTGCCTGCTGCTTCGTTTGTGTACCACTTAAGTAAAAGACCAACTTCTAATGTAATCAGTGTACAGATCTCATTAACAATAAAGAAAAAAATAA